CATTACACGCACACACACACACACACACAAATAAAAGGGTAATATGCTAATTAGACTGGACATCTGGACAAAGCCGCAGCAACTGCCTGAGGCTCAGGGAAGCCACGGATGGTGGCTGCCACTGCTTGGGCCAGCTCGAGGCTTAGGCGAGCCACGCATGGTGGCTGTCGCTGAGAGGGTCCGAGGCTCAGGCAAGCTGCAGTGGCTGTGAGGGCCAAGGTTCAAGCAGCTGCAGTGGCCGGCAGTGGCAGCAGCAGAGGCATGATGGGGGTGACTCCTTCCCCTGATTGCAGTGGCAGTGGTGGGAACCTCTCCCGCCCTCCCCAGCAGCACTAAGGATATCTGCCCATGGGGAGCGGGCCTAAGCTTTCAGTAGGATATCCCCTGAGGGCTCCCGGACTGTGAGAGGGGGCAGGCCAGGCTGAGGGATCCCCTCTCCACCAGTGCACAAATTTTCAGGCATTGGGCTTCTGAAAACATGTGTACATGCTATTTAGAAAACATGCTATGTGTTAAATTCATTTAGTCTACGTACTAAATAGCACGTAGCATGTTTTCATACGTCTGTTGGCCTTCTATATGTCCTCTTTTGAAGAGTATCTACTTAGGTCCTTTGCCCATTTTTTAATTGGATTGTTTATATATATGCATGCTAGAGGCCAAATGCACAAAATTCGTGCACTGGTATGGTCCCTAGCGGCTATCGGGTGGGTATTCCCTCCCTTCCCCAGGCCACCTGCTTCCCCCGGGGCCTCCCTCCCTTTCCCTGGTCCCCTGCCGCTGCCACCACCACAACCACCATCACCATCGCCACTACCGGCCAGGGCCTCCCTCGCTTCCCCTGGCCGGCCCCGGCCCTTGGTTGAATTCTCGGGCAACTCCAGGTCAAAGGGACAATTTGCATACTATGCTTTTATTATATAGGATATATAAAATAAAGAAAAATAGATGCTGAAAAAGCATTTGATAAAATCCAGCACCCATTTATGATAAAATCCCTCAGAAAAGTGGGAATAGAAGGATCATATCTAAGCATAATAAAGGCCATTTATGACAAATCTGCAGCCAACAATATTCTCAATGGGCAAAACTAAAAGCATTTCTCTTAAGATCAGGAACAAGATAGGATGTCTGCTTTCACCACACTTATTCAACACAGCACTGGAAGTCTTAGTCACAGCAATCCGACAAGAAGAAATAAAAGGCATCCACATTGGAAAGGAGAAAGTAAAACTGTCATTATTCACAGATGATGTGATATTATACATAGAAAACCCCAAGGACTCCACCAAAAAGCTACTAGATCTAATAAATGAATTCAAAAAAGTAGCGGTATACAAAATTAATAGTCAGAAATCAGTGGCATTTCTATACACCAATAATGAACTATCAGAAAGAGAAACTAAGAATCCCATTTACTAATTCAACAACACAAAAAATAAGGTACATAGGAATAAATTTAACCAAGGAGGTAAAAGATCTGTACTTGAAAACTATAGGACATTGAAGAAAGAAATTTTGGAAGATAAAAAGAAGTGGAAGCATATACTGTGTTCATGGATTGGAAAAAAAGTAGCGGTATACAAAATTAATAGTCAGAAATCAGTGGCATTTCTATACACCAATAATGAACTATCAGAAAGAGAAACTAAGAATCCCATTTACTAATTCAACAACACAAAAAATAAGGTACATAGGAATAAATTTAACCAAGGAGGTAAAAGATCTGTACTTGAAAACTATAGGACATTGAAGAAAGAAATTTTGGAAGATAAAAAGAAGTGGAAGCATATACTGTGTTCATGGATTGGAAGAATTAATATCATTAAAATGTCCATACTACCGAAAGCAATCTATAGGTTCAATGCAATTCCTATAGTAATAGAATGTTTCACACATCTAGAACAAATATTTCCCCAAAATCCTGAAACACCAATTTGAAAGAATATATGCAACTCTATATTCATAGCAGTGTTATTTACAATAGCCAATATCTCAAAAAGCCCATGTTCATCAGTAGATGAGTGGATAAAAAGGCTGTTGTACAATGGAATCGTATGCAGCCATAAAAAGGAAGGAAACCTTACCTTTTGCAACAGTATGGATGTACCTGGGAATTATTATGCTAAGTGAAATAAGACAGTCAGAGAAAAACAAATACCATATGATGTCACTTATATGTGGAATCTAATTAAGAAAATAAACTGAAGAGCAAATAGAAAAAGAGGCATGGATACATGGAACAAACTGATAGCTGACAAAGGTGAGGGGGAAGAGGGGACTGGATGAAAGAATGCGAAGGGATTAGCCAAAGGAAACCCATAGACACAGTGTGGTGCTGGCCAGAGGGAAGGAGGGAGGCGAGGTTTGAGTGGCAGTGGACAAAGGCGGGGGGAATGGGGACATCTGTAATGGTGTCAAAAATAAAAATAAAGTTATAAATAACTTTTAATCATTTATAAAAATGAAATAATTGATAAGTGGCAAATTTCCCTTGAGTTCATAGATATTGTTAAAATAATACATTCCAGGACCCTTTAGACAGATGGATAAAAGCCTTCTGTAGTATTGATGACAGAGATGCTTCAGTGAGGAAGCTAGTGTAAAAATAAACCTAGTTTCCTGCTGGTGCAACAGCTGGGTGCTTAAGGGGGAAGCCAGCTTCAGCATGAATGGGCTGTCATGGAACCCTATTTCTAGTTGTCAAGGCAGCAAGTTTAGCATCTTCTTCCAACATCTTAGTAACTGAAAGGAAGAAACTGAAATGATTTACTGAAGGATTACTTAGAGAGCAAGTAATTTAAAACGGAACACCAAAGTGAGGTATAAAAAAGGAATATTTATCTTTCAAAAATACAACTTTGAACACTACTGACATCTCATTTACAAAGTATTTTCCTGAAATACTCATTGGCTTTGCTTACTTAGTACATTCAGTTATTTTGAATCACAGCTCAAGGGAGGGCATAAGTATGTTCTTATAAGCACCACCAATACCAAAACAGAAAAGATCATCTATGCCTCAGGATATTAGCCCCAAATCCTCATTTTCCCCTTTCTCTTCCACCAAGCAGGACCTCCTGACTGGTCCACCCACACTGGCATTGCAATCTGGAGGTGTCCCTGGCACTCCAGGTGGAGCTGACCTATTTGCAGGAAGCCTCACACACACTGGCCCAGTATTCATTCATTACCAAGAGTTTTCTACTAATACTCATATCAATTCTTTGCAAACATTCAGCATGAAGTAAACAGTATTTACAGCAGTACATACTTTGCAATTCAACACACTGACAGTAGAAGAAAAGGGACCAATAGGTTTTGTACGAAGGCCAGAGGGAAAACATATTAAAATAAATCTCTTTTGCTAATGTGAGTGTGCACATGCGTACATGCACACACGTGTTTTAACTCATAGAAAATTAAACATGCCCTCCTTTAAAAGCAGACTATTTACAGGGTGATTCTAAATAGCACGTACACATGCCAGTCATACTGGAGACTTGCTTTCTGCACATACATGGAGATTTGTGTTTTTTTTTTTTAATTCTGAAATAAGCTTTTTATCTGCTATGTTAGAAAAAATAAGTTCAGAACAGTTGTCAACTTTTGTTTGACAGTAATTTGCAAAAGCCACATGTCATGCTTTGTCTTTTAAAAGGCGAACCTGGTCAAAACCTTCTAGAAGACTGATGTGTTATTCACTTACTAGGGATTGGAAAGACAACATCAGTTATGGAGTACCTAGTGCTCCTCACATTCCTCTCACCAGTAGCAACATTAATGTGAACAGAACTTTTGAAACACAAATCACGCACAAATCATCAAAATATTTCAGTTAACAGTGTTTAAAAAATACTGAAGTCTACAACAGTAGTACAGACATCGAAAACACCCCAAATACTCTTTAGCCTTAGGCCTTTTTCAATACGACTAATAAAAAAGACAATTGACAGAAAGGGAGAAAGTTACAGCACTTGAGGTTTGAGTAAATTTCTTCTTAGGGCCTGTAGCTTGAGGTGCTGCTCTAGGATCCTTATTTTAAGTCAAAATAGATTCCAGGGATGAATTGACAAATTTAAAGCAATTTCCACTGGAAACCATTGAAAATACAAATCACTTTCTAAGCTTGTCCAACACACATTTATTTTCAGGATCCCAGGTTGTTAGGTAGATGAATTCAGGTCAGTTTCAAGCCCTCAAAGCCACAGAATTTCCATCTCTTCTCTAAACTGGCTCCAACTCCAGTCATTTCTTGCTTGAAGGTATGCTGAAGTCTGCTCATGAGACATTCCACATCACTGGTGCAGATCTGTGGGGAAGAGAGCACATCTCTATTCAAAATCAATTTTACCTTCCTAAACTGGTTCTTCCCCCCTCCCCACCCATGTTGCTTACTTTAGGATGCTGATGCGCACATGTACATCGGAGTGGGGTTGACTTTGTCCCCCTCCTTATACATGTGTATGTGTTGCGTGAGTGGCTTCTGGATGGCAGCCTTCTTCTGTTGTGATCACTAGACAGAGTTTACTATTTGTTTATGTATTTCATAACTGCTTTACTAAATAAAGCATAAAGGATAATTCACATACAATAAATTCACTTATTTCACATACTGATTGATGAGTTTTAGTAAATTTATACTACTATATAAATTTTTATATGATATATAATTTTATATATGTACCACCACTTTTTTATTCACTCATCTATTGATGGGCACTTGGGTTGCTTCCATATCTTGGCTATTGTAAATAATTCTGCAATGAACATAAGGGTGCATATATTATTTTGAGTTAGTGTTTTGAGTTTCTTCAGACATATACCCAGAAGTGGAATGGCTGGGTCATAGGGCAGTTCCATTTTTATTTTTTTCAGGAACCTCCATATTATTTTCCAACTCTGAGATTTCTGTTGGAAAAAGCTGGTATCAGTCATAACAGAGAGGCTTGGGTTATTAATCAGCTGAATGGCAGAAGATCAATGTTAGTGATGCAATGTGCAGGCCTACCAAGCTGCAAAGCCTTTTGGGAAGGGAGTGAGACAGAAATGGCTTCTACCAGACCAGAATTCTCCATACATGCATTGGTTCACAAAGGAAAAGTGAACTAATTCTGTGTATTGTCCCCCTCCTCTCTCTCCCTCTCTCTCTCTCTCTCCCTCTCTCTCTCTCTCCCTCCCTCCCTCACACACACACACACACACACACACACACACACACACACACTCACTCACATCAGTATGAAAACAAAAACAAATCTGTGGACCCCTTTAAGGCTTCCTTGACATGGTCATTTTTATGCTGGTAGCAACATTCCTAACTGTGAACCTGGGCACCAGGGCTTGACAGAAAAGCAGCAGGGAATCTTTATAGAAACCCCAAATTGCCACCACGCTAAATATTTCTGGAGCTAGAGGGAGGGTCCTCCTCAGTTCTGTTGGTACAACTATAGGCTCTCTTTGGAAGGGTCTGGCATTACTCTGTCAGGAAGCTGCTCAGGAGGACCTGGGTCTGGATAGGAGGGAGATCAAGCTTTCTTCCCAGTGCTGGTAGTAGACTGTATTCCAGTTAAGTGAAATCACATTGCAAAGTATCATATAGAGTTGAATATCCATTTCAGAAAACACAAATACTTAATGTTTACTCATATATACATATGATATAGGTGAGACATATGTGTAGAAAAGGGTCTGAAATAAAGATATGCCAAACTGTTAATAGTGGTTATCCTTGAGGGGTTGGGTTGTGAATAAGTCTCCTTTTACTATATTTCTATATTAATTACATTTTTAGATAATATGTATGCATTATTTTTTACAATTTAAAAAAGAACCAGATAATTTGTACTGATATATAGTTCAATTTTATACCACTTCAACTGACCACTTGGTCCTGGTGCTCACATTCCATCCCTCCTTTCACTGCCAAATGGGCCATTTAATTGCAGAATAGCATCATTTCCCAGAGAGTAATGAGGGGAGTGCAAGCTAGAAATGAAACAAATGCCACCAGGAGGATGTATCATCATAGCTAGATTCCCAAATGGGCCAGTGCCTCTGTTAGAGCACATATGCCTAAATGACTTAACATTTTGGACATCCAAGTGCAGGAGTCTGCATTCCAATGGCACTTCTCAAAAGGCCTGGATCCTGTGAAATAGTGAGTACAATCAATGAGCAGGTTTAACTGAATGCTGCTTCTGAAAAAAAAAATCTATCATGAGTTTATTTATTCTAAGGAGTCAAGAGTTCCCTCCTCCTTCAGTGAGGCATCCTTGACCTTCTAGGGAACTAGCACTTACTCTTGCTCCTGATGCTTTGTGAGTTCCTCCACAGGATCTCACCCAGGGAAGGAAGAAGCCCACGAGATTGGCTGTGAGCAAAAATTTAGTCTGTGTTACAGACTTATTGTTCCATGTTTTGTTGTTTTGTCCCTTCCTTGATTGTTTCATCATAGACAATGGCAGTGGTGATGGTGATGGTTGGGGAGGTGGCTGGAGTAAGAGTTCCAATTTGAAAAATTAACATTTGTTCACTGTTATAGGCCCAGGGAAAAAGATTGATTTGTGAGAAACATTGGTTAATTTATAGCTTACAGTAAATTAAGAGAAAGGACATTAATTCCTTTAGGGTGTATTTTGGAAGTTGGGTGGCCAACTCATTCAGGTTTTCCCAGGGTTTCCCCAGTTTTAGCATTGGAAGTCCCAAGTCCTAGGAAACCCTTCAGTCCCAAGCAAACAGAGATAGATGGTCATCCTACTTGCCAGAATGAGGCTCCACACTGAATCACAGTGATAGAATAGGTGAGGGACATTTCCTTAGAGCAATTACTAATGACTTATCTATGCTTGAAGAGAGTAAGGTCACCTCTTCCCAAAGAACTCTAGATCCCATTCCAGGCTCCCACATACCTTATTATCTAGACGGTGCAAGTAGGAACAGATGTATTCAATGCTTGCTCCAAATGGGTGAACATGAAGGAATGTGGAGATAATCCCTATAAAGGCAATACCATGGAGGTTACACTTGAGATGCCACATGATAATGTATAGCAAGAGCTAACTTATTATGTACAACAAGCATGTCAAACTCGCGGCCCGCTGGCCATGAGTTACAATAACTATGTACTGGGCACGATTTTAAATTTACATCTATTTTATTCATTTAATCTTTACAACAGCCCTGTGAAATAGGTATTACCATCCCCATTTCATAGATGAGGAGCCACTGAGGCACAGAAAATTTAAGCAATTTGCCCAAGATCACACAGCTGGTAAGTGGCAGGGCTGATATTTGAACCCAGACAATCATTCTTAGTTTTTGGTTTTTTTTTTTTAAAAATACGTTTTATTGATTTTTTACAGAGAGGAAAGGAGAGGGATAGAGAGTTAGAAACATCGATGAGAGAGAAACATCTATCAGCTGCCTCCTGCACACCCCCTACTGGGGATGTGCCTGCAACCAAGGTACATGCCCTTGACTGGAATCGAACCTGGGACCCTTCAGTCAGCAGGTCGACGCTCTATCCACTGAGCCAAACCGGTCAGAGCCAGACAATCATTCTTACCATACTGCCTCTTACCACACTATATAACGTGTAGAAAAGCTGGCATTTGAGAATTAATTTCCATCATTTTTGATGGCTAAAGATTACCTGAGTTCTACATTTTACAAGGAACTTAGAATTTTACAATAAATTTAGATTTGCTGAGTTGTTACAGTTCCTCTGCACAGTCTTTAAATTGGACTTTAGCCTCTTCTGCATTAATAATGTCTTATTGTGGTAGAAGTACTTTGCCTGACTAATCCTGCGCCTCTCACAAGAGAATTTGCTGATTGTATTTGAGTTCTTTTTCTGTGACTACCTCCACAAGAAAAGCCAAACTTTTTTTTCCCCTGCTCACGTGATCATTAACATTTTGTTTGTGTTCAAAGCCCTGAATCTTTGAATTCTCATGGCAGTTTATAGCCTCCAGGAATGGTCATAATTTCTACTCATAATAACTATGGGGTGATTGGCAGTTATACACACTGTCTTGATTGTTCTGTCCACCAGGTTAATTGCTCTAATACTCCTTTTGTTCAGAAGTCTACTATTTCTTTCTTTATATTTTTTAAATTCACCTCCTTTTATAAGATCTTAGATATCTCAAATAGACCCAGACTTGAATTTGCTGAAAACTTCCAGGAAATAAAAGCTAAATATGGTTTAGTTCATAAACTGCAACTATCTGTCCCTTTTAAAGATTGACAAAGAATATCATAAGTTTAAATTGTAGTTTGAAGTTCAAATTAGTTCTTTGTGAAAATCCTCTGAGTATTAGATGTCATAGGAATAGGTTGGGGGATCTAGAAGTAACTGATGGTAGGGTTCAAAATCTGTTCAAAATGGATGTTATTACTTTATAACACTCCTTTATTCTTCAATGACAAGGCAAATTGAATTTCTAAACACTGACTCAAGCTGAGAAACTTAAATTCTGAAGAACACAGTCCACGTTCAAAGAAATTCTAGATGCTTTGGTCAAGATAGGCTGTCAAATGCCAAAAAACAACTCAATGGGTTTCAAAACACTAAGCAGTTTTTGTTGGTTCATACCCAAAGAGCCAACTTAAAAAATAGATTTTCCATTCTCTCTGTCAGCCCAAGATATCTTTAGAAAAACAAAACAAGAAACACTTATTTTAAGAATCTTTGTTTCTAGAATTATCCATTTACAGAAGCTTCCTCCTACCCCCAGCTTTTCTCTGACAGGTCTCCCAGTAGCCATGCCAATTTGTTAAAGAACTTTGAGTTGGAAAACGGAAATAAATTATCACTTTTCTCGAAGGCTCAATGGCAGATCTCCTGGCACATCTTATCAACATATCAAATTGTTAAATCTGAGTATAATATCCATTACCAAAGGAGGCAGATTATTTTAAAAATATGCAGAAGCCAATCAGAGTGCAGAACTTTTGAGATAGGGGTGGAGCTAATGTGTGGCTCAGCTTCCTAGAAGGCAGCTAGGATTATCGGCTGAGGCCCAAGATCAGCCTCTTTTAAATGACAAAATATTTCATAGGATCTCAATCTGCCACTGCTCTCCAAATGGAATTTAAGTAAATAAGCATTTGTGAATAGTGCTGTTAAGTGCAAAAATGGTTTACATTTATTGAGGTCTTAATATGGGCTGGGTACTATGTACACTGATTTAGATGAAATATTGTATTTAATACTCACAGCTACCCTTTGAAATAGGTAATATTATTATGCCCATTTTGCAGATGGAAGAACTAAACATCAAGATGGAAATGGTGGAGTCAAAACAGGAAGCCAGGTCTGTCTGATTCCTTAACCATTTATGCTATCTTGCCTATTTGAATGAATTTCTATATAATGAGAGCAATTTTAACATTTATTTCATCATAGTCCACCAGTGTCCAACACTTATAGACAGCCTTTTGAGTCATCTGCCTGTAACCTGGCACACACTTCCTCTGGAGGCTTACCTGGAAAAGCTCTCTACTATGCAGTGTCTGCACTGTCCCTTGACTAGGACTGAGAAAGACTCAGCTAACCTTGCATAGAGATTTAAAAAATTTACAATGTGTTTCTCTAGTGGACCCCCTATTGGCATAGTGCTTATACCTTCACGTTTGATGTGGTACTGGCCACAAAGAGCTTGAAGAGGGCTGGGAGCTGCTGTTACCATTTTTTTTTCCTGTTACCATTTTTTTATTGAAATCTGTACTTGTTCTTATTCTGTTGTCTTCAGGACTCTGGGTCCTTGCACTGTCATGCTTCATAAATGCTTGGCGTGTGCTTATACACCTTAGGCAAACCCATCCTCCTCTGCACTGCACTCTAAGCATTGTATGTGTGTGTTTGTTAGCTTCCTTACCCACTAGCAGTGCTTCACGTTCAGATTTGATAGGACTGCTGTTCAGAGTCTTCTCAATAGGGTAGTCACTATCCTGGCTTGATGCACACAGTCTAGAAGCACAGTTTTCCTGTGGGAATAATATGCTTCCTGGGTCAGTTCACCTTATTTGATAACAGGTTTGGTTTCAATTACACAACAGGAAACTTCTGTAACAAAGCACGCTAAAAGCAATACTGTCCAATTTTGATTATTGAGTGGGAAGAAGGAAAACAGCATAAATTACAAAAACATTCCAGACAATCCAAAGCTCCTTTATACTATGGCTTCATAAAGGAGCAGAAAAAATTAGATATTCATCTTTACCAGTTTTAGTTTTCTGCCTTCATCATTCACTCTATACAAGTATCTGGAGGACCAGACTCAACATTTACTGTTTCCTAGATGCCAGGCACTGTTAGGCATGCATTATACCCATTCTACAAATGAGAAAAGTGGGGCTCAGATAAATTAGGTAAATTGCCTAAGATCACATTGCTAGGAAGTATTAGCCTAGATTTCATCCCAACCCACCTACTGTTAAAAGGACCATTTTTTTTCTTATTTTAGGTCCACATTCTGCTAAAGGTAAGTCCCATCTCTGAATGGAGAATCTACAATTTAGCTAATCCATTTGCAGGTAATCAACTTTTGGCTTTTAAACTAAAAACCAGAGTCTCTATTTATTGATTATCAACTCTCTCTTTCTCTCTCTCTGTCTCTTCTCTCTGATAAGGACATTATCAGTTAGGATATTCCTGACTTTATAGCAAGAAATGGCCATGACTCAAAATATCATTACTTAGTGGCATTCTTTATTGTTGCAAGTTTTCTCTTTCTGAGCAGAGCAGGCATGTTTCTTAAGAGATATTCATAAAATTCACGACCAGCAATCAAATTGAAAAATACCTCCAGATCTTTCATGGATCTTTCTTTCTCTCTTTGGGTATTGAAAACATCTTTTTTTGTATTATAAATGTGAAGGAAAGCCTTCATAATAAGGAATAAAAGAAATCACTGCTTCAATCTCACTACTATTATAAAAGGAAATGCTGGGGATATGCACCTAGGGGAGATCGAGTCGGGAAGATCATGCCTGACTCAGATTATTTGTCACTTCTTCCCTTCTACAAACTCTCAGCACAGACAGATTTCCTTCTGTTTTCTTTAAAGATGTCTTCAAAGCTTCCAGGATGCTGCCCCTGAACAAAACGAATGTTCTATGCTGCCAGGCATGTTGTTTTTTTGATTTACAGGCTTCCCGGCTGTAGTTAGAAGGGAAACCTTTCTTGATGACCTACTCAATCTTTGGCCTTTAGAATACAATTCAGGCAGTAACTATCATGCCAAGTTTGATTTAGACTACTGGCTCACTTCTAAGCCAAGGGCTGTACATCTGCTTCTAATCCCCTTAAAACATCAAATGATCTAGTAAGCCATTTCTTAAATGTGAGTGTTTAACAGATCCTGGGTGATTTAAGATATGAAGACATCCTGAGACATTCTAGCCATCTTAAATAGAAATGTAGCCTTACTGAAAGTTGACTTCAGTTTTATTATATAGCTGGCATTTAAACAATTAGAAGGCATATTGAATGGATGCTTATCACCTTAAATTTTACTAACATATTGAAAGAGGTAGTTCTTTCTGTAGTAAAGCAGATATGTTACATTGTTATATTGCAAAACACTGCCAATAAGTCACACTGTGGTTTACTGTCAAGCAACCCAAACAAAAACAAACAAAAAAATCCCTTCTCACCAGAACTTATTGCTTTCCTTTCAACTTAAAATTACTTTTGCAATCTAATGTGATGGTACTTTGCTTCCTAACCTAATTGTGTCAGGTTGAAATATTTGATCGCAAATCAGCTTCCCAGAGAAGAACACTTTATAATGAACTGTTATGACTTTTTCTGAAAGTAGCTCTGCTTAAAAAAACACAGGAAAAACATATTCTGACTCACATTTTCCTGATTATCAGTTGGATCTCTTTCCTTGTTCTCTTCAGCTTGTACATCATGGTGTACCCAGTTTCAGAATGGGAAACACTTAGACACACACAATATGGCAAATTTCCTCTATGTAATTTGACCTCTTGTTTCTTTAAATGAAATACTTTACAAGGCAGAAAGCTGTTTATACTAAATCACTAAAAATGCCCCATATACTAAAAATGCCCTTAATTCAATTTATGATATCAATCCTAAAGGGTGATTTTAAGCATAATGCCACTAGCATGATCCCATGTCTATCTGTAGTCTTCTGCCTACATACTCCATTTTATGCAAAAAGCAAAACAGCTATGTATCAGCTCTGGGACATTTTAGAAGCTCTGATAGTATAAGCAAAGTCCTGATAAATAGAGTAGCTTTGGTACTTTTCAATTAACAGCTTAATAAATGAATTTCTCTGGGATTATGCTTGCTTCTTTAATAGTATCCACAAACTGGAAGGTGAGTTGATTTTATGAAATAGATGATTTATAAGCATACTGCAATGGCTTCCAGAAAAAAAAACACTTTCAATCATTTGTTTCAACTACACCATGGTTGCCAGTTCTTAATGGCACTCTGTGGGAAGTCACTATGCTGGCACACACACCCAGGGCACCTGTATGCATTGCATCTTTCGGAGCTGAGTATACAAAATAAAGAGCATAAGCTTTTGTGGATCTGTAGCATTGTTGATTTTTCACTCTTAGTGTAAGATCCTAATCTTCTCTTCCTTCTAAGACATTAAAATCAGTCAATTATGGTCAGTGAGCCTTCTTTTTCAGAGAATAACTTCAGGCATAAAAGAATGTTCAGGTATAAAAGAAATTAGGTATGATGGAGACACCATTAGTAGATTTTACATATCCTTAAATAGACTGGTCACCTCATTCATGGTTGTGATACATTAATCCATCTGAGTTTGACATGCTTGCACTAGGTGGAGCATCTGCAAAACAATGTTAATGTTCTAGTTGCTCTGTGTTTCTTCCTTTAATGAAATGCTTAATTAAAGGTACTCTGTGTCACAGGAGTTTTCTATGTTGTTATTTGCTTGACAAGATGAAGTGTGCACTCTGGTCTTGACAAGATGAGGTGTACACTGGTCTTTTCCAAGAGGGAATACTGAGGAATTTCAGGGATGTACTGATTTTTTATTCATTGAAAAGTACACTCTCCAGAACCCTTAGAAATGTCAAGGACTCACACTTGAAAAGCAGAGCCCTTGATTCAAGAATTGCCCTAAAGATAGGGCTTTTAATTCCCAACCAGCCCTACATTCCAAATATTTTCCTATTGTAGCAACTTCCAGGGTATTTTCATTGTCACTAGAAAGGAGTGAAATGGGCAAGGGAAAAGGTTCACTTAGGACTCATGTACCTTTTCTTTAAGATTTTCCAACATTTTTTCCACCTGTAACTTTTCATCTTTGATTTTTTCAAGTTCAGCGTCTTTCCTTTTGTATTCCTCTTGGACTTTGAGTAGATGCTACAAGAAAAACCAAAGACAATCAGATCTTAAGGACTCACACTTCACTTTAAACCTTGGCTAAAATTGTACATTAGCCTGGTCTACCTCACTTTACACCAGCACACATAATCATTTCTCTGTGCAGAGATACTGCACGGAGAAATCAAGATACTTTTTACTTAAAGTTATTTTTATTTGGCTCTTATAAACTTTCTTTGTTAATATTTTGGAGTCTGAGGAACTGACTGATCTCATCACTTAATTTTCCTATTACAGCCAGGGGTAAGGGAAGAGTGCAGTTAATTCTGTGTGAACACTATCTTGATTGCTGCATACACTGAATTAGATGTTGGAAAGCATCCTTGCAAATAGCAATTTTCTAAGCCAAATTCAATTTCTTTGAGAAAAGTAGTAAAAAATCTAAATATCAAAAATGTTAGTTTCCATAATAGTAGGCAAGGGACTAGATTCACCATAATTTATGATTATAACAAATACTAGCTATTTAGCATTTTATAGGTGCCAAGTATTGGGCAAAGGGTTTTACATTCATGATCTCATTTAAACCTCACAATTTTTCCATGATACATAATACTGATGCTTAGAGAGGTTTAGTGGCTTGTCTGAGGTCATTCATTCAGTGGCAAAGCTGGGATTTAGACCCAGGTTGCATCAACCCTATAGTCCATGCTTGTAATCCCCATATTAGACTATACATCATTTTGGGACAATGTGAGAAAAATTTTATAATTGTTTACAAGGCTATTTTCTAATAAAAAGTAATCAAAATGACTGAAATTAATTTTTTAGTAGCTAGAGACCAAACTGTCTCACTGAGGTCTTTGAAGTGATGAAATGAAAAAAAAATAGCTCATCATTTTAAAATTGCATTTAAATTGCAGAACTGTCCTTATGTGGAATGGTTTCAAAATTAAGGTAAGAAAAGAACACAACAAGAAAATGTTTCCAAAGTCTTGCTTTTCAGAGGCTTGCAAAAGACCATTGGAAGGGCTAAAAAACATAGTACAATGTACATTGTCAAAGTTCTTTGAAGTCTAGCTGAGGAGATGCAATTTTTGGTGCAAAGATCTCTGATGTAATTTGCATGTTCTAATTGAACTCCATGGTGACAGTAAAAGAAAGGTAAGCGTTCATTCACACATTTTGCTAACAGGAAAGGTGAAATATTAATGTGATATTACTTGTCATACATGAAGATAATGGTAGCATAAGTAATAGGAATATGGGGCTCCTAGTGCCAGAAGAGACTACCTATTTACAATTTGTGATTTCCAACCAGCGATAAGCTTTGCTCTAGATAGTTCTAAGGCATACAATTAAAAATTATTGCACAATTTAAGTTGTAAGGAAAAATGAATGGTAGTCTAGCAAGATAGAAGAGGATAGTATACTTACTCAGAAGTACTACACCTTTACTGAGAGAACAGCTGTTGATATCTTTTAAATTGTAGGCTCACTGTGGTAATGATTACATGAAACTTCTAGATATTGAACATCTATTATACAATGTTGTACTTAAATTATAGTGAGATGCACTTATTTATTTTACTTTTTATAATTGGAAAATGTGCAGGTAAACTCACTCACATAAATGACCGTGATAACAAAATAAAATAAAAGCAAATTTGTATATGCCTGAAGCACTGATACTAAAAAACCCATAACACCTCTGCTTCTATCCAAATCAAGCATAGGATTCCTGCCATTCCTTCTAAAAGGCTGTATTTTTCAGCATTGTTTCGACTAGATACTTACCCACCATCACTTTTTCGTATCTAAGTATCTGTGGTTCTTCAAAAGGACCCTGAGGCCCTGCCCCGATCTCAAAGTAGATTATGTTTGGTGTAGTTTTATTATTTTTCACTGAATGCTCATTCTTTAAAAATTGGTGATCCATTGCTACCACTGTATTAAGCAGAATATATCATTTACCACAATACACAATCCCTTCCTTACTTATGCCAGAGAACAGAATATCAAGAATTGTAAGAGATTTGCTCTTCTACTTGCTTTCAGGGGACCCTTTTACATGTGAGGAGCTGAAGATGTTTATTCAAAAGGTTCAGAAAACCAAAATTCATTTACCTGTTGCATTCCTTGCAGGGCTTGTTGCAGGAGTTTCAACTGTTGTTCTTTGTTTGGGTCATCTTCTTTGTGGGTTTTGCCTTGCTCTTGCTTAAGCAGTTCTACTTCATTCCGATAAGCATCGAGCTGCCAACGGAGGCTGTCATTTTCTTCCTTCAGAGCTTCTGCCTGTGATACTAAGGCTAAACAATCAATATAAACTAGTTAAACCATATATCCAGATTCCTTTGTGCCTCATCTTATTACCATGAAATTGACGTGTATAGAAAGCCTCTCAGTGAGAAACTTTGGGTCTGAGTTGGCCATGGCAGCAAGGGATGGACACAAGAGCACACAGGCCCATTTTTGCAAATGAACACAGGATTCCAACACATGAAAGTTCTCATCATGCTTCATTTTCTTCACCCCAGTTATAACTAAGATATTTTCAGGTAACATCAGTTGCTTTTATTTGAATTGCACTAAATGATAAGAGTCCTGTAATAAGAATATATAGAGCTAAATGTCTTGAACTAATGATTTTCCACACAGTATTTCTGCTGATAGTTGTTAAAAAAAATGTAGCCTTGACTGGTCCTAGTGGGGAAAGGTAAATAAGAAAATGAAGACATAAGACTTTGGTTTTTAGTATAGCTTAGATGTTGCCACTCCGTCCTAAAAAGATGTAAAAAAACTGAACAAACTGAAAACTCAACAGCCCTTCTTAGATTCATCAGGATAGTGAAGTAATAGGGCAAACTGCTACCCACAAAACTGGAGAGAGAGATAGGCGAATACAGAGTATCTCAACTTACCAGACCAGAAACCCATGAGCAAAAACCTCCACAGGAACCAGTGCCAAAGTAATTGGCAAATTGCTGGAGGCTCCACATGGACAAGTTTGAGACTTAAAATGTCAAGGGCAATTCAGTCATAGTGAGGTCCCTACACTTTTGTGAGCTTTATCTCCAGGAGCTCAACAAGATCCTCACAGTGAACAGCTGAGAAAAATCCCCTTGTACTTCCAGCTGGGGTCGGAGATAGAAACCAGTTTGTATGCCCAAACATTCTGTTCTTAAAAAGGCTTGCCTTCAGAAGAAACTATTTTATCAGAGTCTAACCTGCTTGGGTTTTGCCAGAGCCTAAATCACCTGGGGAAGGAAAATATCCAACTCTAGCTCCCTCTAGTCATTCTGTCCTATCTAAAAGGTAGGGGGGAAGAATCAAAACACTTGCAAAGTTCACAGTCCAGAGACACAGGCTCACTAAAGGACTGAGACCTAATCTTAGGGCTGTGAAATGCTTCCCCTCCCTCACTACTGCTACACTACTAAAGTCCTATTTACTAGTACATCACATCCAGATTTTTTTAAAAAAGTACAAGGCATGCTAAAAGGTAAAAAACAAAATTGGAAGAGACTAAACTGGGATCAGAATCAGAGTCATATATAGCAAGAAAGTTGGAATTATCAGACCTTAAATTTAAAACAACTAATATTAGTATGCTAGGCTTTAATAGAAAAAGTAAATAACATGAAAAAACAGATGGCTAATGTAAGCAGAGTATTGGAAATTCTAAGGGAGAATCAAATAGAAATATAGGAATAAAAAGACATCATAACAGAAATGAAAAATGCCTTCAACAGGTTTATTAATAGACCTGTGGAAATAGAATCTCTGAGCTTGAGAAGATGACAATAGGAACTGACTAAACTAAAAAGCAAAACAACAACAACAACAACAAAAACAACATAACCAATCAGAATATCCAAGAACTGTGGGACAACTAACTACAAAAGATGTAGCATACATGTAATGAGAATATCAAAAGGAAAAGAAATAAAGGAATAAAAGCAATATTTGAAGCAATAATAACTGACAATTTCCCCAAATTAATGTCAGACACCAAGCCACAGAGAAGATCAAACAGGATAAATGCCAAAAAAAAAATTAGACCGGAACAGACACCTCATCAAAGATATACCAATGTCAGAAACTAAGATGGCGGCAGAGATAAACACCGGGAAATTAACGCCGCACACAACAATTGATTAATACCTCAGAGAAACAATACGGACTTCACCCAGAACCACAGGAAGCCTGGCTGACTGTAAACTCTACAACTAGAAGGAAGGAAAGGCACACTGAGACCCACAGAAGCCGCAGGAGAGAAGCACAGAGGTACGGGGCTCACCCGGGGCTCGCGCGCGCGGAAAGGGACTGGGAC